CCTCCACCCTTCGCCCGTCTTCTCCTTGTTTGGGCCTCCTGGGAGGCCCTCGTCACCACCGCTGGATTCGCCTTAAGTCGGGCCTGTCCCTTCACGGGAGGATTATTCAAATAGTCTGGGGACGATTATTTAACATATTTCCTGGCTATTTGGGAGGATTTTGCTGTATTTTTAATTTTTCACCAAAAATCGGCTTGTAGGAGGACGCCAACCGAAGATTCGCCTCGAAGTCCTGGTCAGAGCGCAGCCTGGGAGAGGTCCTGGGAGTAGCGATATCGGTACCTTTTTTGGCTCCCCCAAGGGTGCCCTTGCGTCCCTACCTCTGCAGTCCATTTCTAGCAAATCGTCGCTCCAATACGGGCTTCAAGATGGGCGTCCAGAGGACCTGCATCCTCACCGCGCAACCTCACGACCTGGTCGCACTCCATGGAGTGCAGTTCGGCAGCGGTGACGCGGCTCTGGGCAAGGCAGCCTCCGACAGGGCAGCCTCCGAAGGCCCCCTCCGCCGAGGCTCGCCTCCGTGGCCGTGATCGGCGCCGCCTCGCTCCTGCCGGGCCTCGCGCTCCTCTTCCGCCAGGCGCCCCCCGGGGGGCGCGGGCCCGAGGACCGCGGCGGGCGCTCCAGGAGCCCATGGCTTCCCCTCGTCCCCCGGAGGGCGCGGCCCGAGGACCGACCGCGTCGCGCGCTCCAGGAAAATCCATGCTTCCTCTCGCCATGCAGCAATCCCAATGGGAGGTTTTGGTGAATCGTGGGCGCTTCGCGTAGCCCCACCAGCCCATCCAGAAACGATTTCCAGGCGAGTGGTCCTGATCAGGGATGTGGAGGAGCACGCAGTGGAATAAGGGATTGGGGACGCCGTCGTACCCCGAGAGGAGGGGGTAGAAGGAGGGGTCAAGCTACCCACAAGTATCAAGCCGTTTCGCTCATTCCCACCCGCCCTCCCAAGACTTTAGTAGCACCCGAGTCTCTGCATGGACAGGGGCCGCCATCGACAAGCATCGGGAACCAATGCAGACGCCAGCCAGGTGCGCGAAGCCTGCGAGATGTGCCGCACATGCCAGCTGAGCCACGCGCACCAGGTGCGCCACATTGGGCAATCTGGCAAGATGTTGACCTTCACACCGCCGCTGTCCAGAAACCATGCGAAGTGACGGCGGGTTTGTTGTGTGCGGGTGTGCGCCAACGATCGTATTGCATACTTATGTGTTTTGACAGGGATGTTGGGCTTGCGCACAGCAGAAAGGCTGCTGCCCCCCCCCGCCGTCCCTGCCAGAATGAGCTCGGTTTTATTGCTCTTCCGAAAAGAATGGTGGGCCTGCACGCAGCAGGCAGTCAGTATGCCGGCCTCCCGGCCCCCCCTGTCAAAAACTGATGTTAAGTCGGGCCTACCCCTCTACAGGGGGGATATTCAAAAGTAATAGAAAAATAGTGTCGGGACGATTGTTTAATCATGTTTGAATATTGTTTGAATCTTTTGCCTAAAAAGCAATTTCTGCCGTCAAAAACCCGCTTGTAGGGGAACACGCCCGACCTAAAACTAATGCAGTGAAAGCAAGGCGCATCCGCGCACGAACCAGATTTGGTGCCAAGTGCATTTTGTATTGTTTATTGTTATGGGGTGTTGGACACAGTAGGCGATATGCTGCCCCCGCCCGCCGACCCCGTCAAAAACCAATGCGAAGTGATCGCGGGGCGCCCGCGCATAATCCAGATGTTGGTACAAAGTGCACTTTGTACTGTTTTTGCAAGGGGCCCCCGCCGTCCCTGTCAGAAGTCAATGCTAAGTGTTCGCGGGGCGTTCGTGCATGATGCAGATTTGGAGGCAAAGTGTATTTTGTATTGTTCATGACAGGGATATTGGGATCGGGGGGGGCGCATGGGTGTCGGTCGCATGGGCCCGAGTTGGCTGTCGGTCGGGTGGGGGAGGAGGTGTCTATCAACAGGGGGGCGGTGGTAAACACCCCTCCCCAGAGGGGAAGAGGGGCCCGGAAGAGGAAACTCGCTAGACCGCACACGCCCACAGGGCTGGCGGGGTTTTTGGCCCAGGCCCCTCGCCAGGCCCCCTGGACCGTCCAGGAACGGCTCAGAATGCAACGCCGGCCCCGGGGATGTGGTCTAGAGCACAGGTGGTCCTGGTTGTTCACCGAGCACGTTCCACCACTCGCAGAGTGCCTACTCGCAAACGTCCGAGCAAAAATCGTGTGTGTACCCGGTATGGAGAATACCGCCAAGTCCCCCGCGGCGGTTCCAGGCGATGCGCGAGCAGCTGCTCTGCGAGTCGTGGAGCGCGCATGCCTGGTTGTGATCCCCCGCGGAGGCTGAAAATCCCCCGTGGCGGTTCCAGGCGATTCGCGAGTATTCACTTTGCGAGTCGTGGAGCGCCCTTGCTTCTAGCTGTGAGAAAATCACGACGGCGGAGACCTGGGAGGCGATCGCAAACATGGATTAAGGGGGCGTGGATTAGCGACGGGTCCCGTTTCCATGGGGAATCGCGGATCTCCGCCGCCGAGCGAGGCGGCAGCGGCTGCATTTGGGGAGGGCACCTCCCCCGATCCACGGATTTGGCGGCCGCGCGCCAAATCAATGGATCGCTTATCCAGATCCATGTTTCCGCGCTCCCGACTGTCTGGTTGTGAGAGATTACCAGCCTGGAACATATCCCTATCCCTATGCTGGGCACCTCCTCATCACGATGCCGATCTTAGGGACTCCCTTCTTGTTTGAGGGCGAATCCCTGAGATTGTCATCGCCTTTTGGCGTGTCAATCTTAGGGATAGGGATACTCCAGATTTCGTAATAAAAGGAAGGGGGTCTGGACCCTCCAAGACAAGCCATTTCAGACCTCCCCCGTGGGAAAACCCTCCAAAGCAGCGTCCCCAGACCCCCCCAGGCCCTCCAAGATAGCCTGGAAGAGGCCCCCCCCCGAAATGAGACCCCCCTCCCTTTATTACGGAATCTGGAGTACGCATCGCGGCTGGCACAGAGGGCCTCGCGGCGCCGGAGGCCCCGGGAGGGGTCTCGCCTGCGGCGCCCAGGCCGCCCCCCGCTTGCGGGAGCCGGCGCTTGGAGCGGGAGGGCGGCGGGGCCCGCCGGCGGAGGGCGGCGGAGGGCGGAAGCTCCGGGGGGGCTCGGTCGCAGGGGGGAGGGTCCTGAGGACCCCCCCCAAATTGCCCCCTTGCGAGGGCGACGTGCACGTTCGAGGGGACGGCTGGCCTTTTCGGCGGCCGACGCACGGGCGGCGCACGGGCGACGAATGCGCGACGCACCTCCTGTCGCGAAGGGGGGGCGGCGGGGGCGAAAGTTCGGGGGGGCTCGGTCGCAGGGGGGAGGGCATTTTTTATCTGAATGACAAATCTTAATACTCTATATATAGAATGTTAAGATCTGTCCTTTATTAAGATAAAAAAATAAATGACTTATGGTTTAGGGCATAAGACTTTAGATCATTTTAAAAAATACCTTCATCAAGGACAAATTTTAATGCTCGAGCGGGCCCAGCTGGAGGTGCTCCGGTCGAGCGCGCTTTCTGCTTCCAGTTGGCGCGGACGGAAGGGGCACGGGAAGAATGGGCACGATGCCCCACAGCAGTGCTTGTCCGTTCTGAACAGGGCTCGCTGTCGGTGTCGCCGCGGCCTGTGTCCATTTGAGACAGAAGGCCGCCTGCCCAACAGCGGCCGCTGTTTGTTTGAGACAACATTTGTTGTTGGGCATTGTACCCATCTTTTCCATACCCATTTCGGGCGTCCAAATCCAGGGGCCATTCGGAGCGGATTTTTCTTCTAACCCCACCTTTACCCCTACCCATCGGTCGTTCACAAAGTGGATAATGTGGGATTCCCAGGTTCCGGTCTACTTGAGGCGCCTTCCTGCTTCAAGGGTCGAGTGGTTTCACTTTTTCCGCCCTCTTCAAGGGGCGAGCGGACACCCAGTGTACTTTCAACGCCTTCCTACTTCATGTTTCTACCTACTTCTTCCGACCGATGGGTGCCCCTACAGTCGAGCATCTGGTTAAGAAGCCTCCTCTCCAAAAGCTGATCCAGCGTTTCTTAACCAACTTGCTGGGAAGTTGGCCCAGTGTCTTGAGCGCGTTCGCCCTCCAGCGCTCGCAAGAACACTTGGCCCAGATTTGTTCCAAGAAACTTCTGGAAATCTGGCCGACGTTTCTTGCATTATCACGTTCTTGATCATATTGTCGGCTGTACCCCACCTGCATGCCCCCCCACCCACACGAAAAGGCGAGACGCCAGCGTGTCCGGATGCCGGCTCTCCCGCAGCGACCGCGCGGTGGGGCGTCGCCTCCAGCCTCGCGCCCGCTCGCCCGAAAGATGGCAGGCGCACCTTGACCCTCGACGTCGCTCTTCTGCTCCACACGTCGGAGAACAAAAAACGGCCTGAACATGAACTTTTGGCGCTCCGCGCGGAGCGCCAACAGTTTATGCTTACGCCGTCTTTTCTTCTTCCACTGGCGGCCTGGGGGGCTTGGGGGCCAAATTGTGGGGGGAACGGAGTTTGGGGAATTTGACGCAAGCATATTCGTACCCATCCTACCTCTGCTCCCCCATGTTTTCTCTGGGGGGGAAGGGCGGGGAGAAGGAGGTGGTTATCATGAGCATGGGTACGGCGTTATCTTTCCACCCTTTCGTATCTCTGGCCGCCGTGGTATCTCCCTATCGCCGCGGCAGCCATGGCTCCCAGCGAATTCCCAATGATCGTGTTATGGTTTTTTCTCCCGAGCCGCCCTGCTTGACGCCAACGTCGGAACAGCGTAGATGTCTCCTGCCTCACGGTGTACACCACGTCCCGTGCATCTCCGCTCACCCAATTCAATACTCCCGAGAACGAGTGGTTCTCCGAGGCGGGAATTTATACATGACCACCGCCTGGAGGGTCAGTTTTCGGAGCCTCGGCAGGCGGTGGATATGGACATATTCGGGCCCCCGGGGGCCGAAATATATCCATAGCCACCGCCCGCTGGGGCACCAGGACGTCGGTTCCCAGGCGGTGGATATGGATAAATCCCCGCTTCGCAGGTTCGACCCCGGCGACATGCGATGAGTTCGGAAGGACGACCGCGTAACTCCTTGCGATTGTCTCGGGTTGCCCTTGTGTGCGTGTAGTCGTGTGCCCGTGCGTCTGGTCAACTGCTCGCACAGTGACCGAACTACCCTCCCTCGCATTGACCGCAAGCGTCGTCACCCTGATGACTACAAGGGTTAAGTCGGGCCTGTCCTTCTATACAGGAGGGATCTTCAAAAATAGTCAATGTATGGCCTGGGACGACTCTTTGAGCATTTTCTGATCCTCTTGGGGTATTGCTTCACTATGTTTTACTGCTCGTCCCAAATCCCCCTGTAGGAGGACGGGCCCGACTTTAATACAGGGGTGATGCTATGTTTTCCAGGCGCGCGCAGGGACACGCGGCCAACGGGGGGCTCGAGACTGGCTGCCCGAGGGCCCGGGGAGTGCCTCATGCTCGGGCTGCCTGGGAGGTGACGGCATCTGGCCTTAAGTCGGGCCTTTCTTTCTACAGGGGGAATGTTCAAACATAGTGTTTCAAAATAGTCTGGGGACGATGTTTTGAGCACTTCCTGGCTATTTTTGAATTTGTTTTGAGTGTGTTTAATTCTTCTTTCAGAATCCCCCTGTAGGAGGACAGGCCCGACCTAAATCTGGCCTGAAGCTATCAGTTTGGGACAATGCAGCATGCAAGGGATTTCTGGTTTGCTGTGATCTGCGATTGAGGGTCGTTGCAAGATCGTTTTGATGCCCAATCTCCTTATCCAGTGGATCTCTGTTCAAGGCCACCGCCGCTGGGATGATTCCGATCCGATCGGTCCGGATCAAGAAAGGTTCCGGCAGGCCCGATGTTTGCATGGGATTGTTGAGCATGTTTGTGCAGTCCGTCCGATTCTATTTCGGTTCCGTGCCGATGCAGCTTGATCCGACGCTCATTCCGATCCGATCCGATTTCTCGATTCGATGTTGACCGATCTTGCCCAACCGCTGGGATCTTTAACTCCAGCCATCCTGCAGGTAAGCTGCACGTTCTCTCTGGGGGCTCCTTCGATCTTGTTGTCAGTGGGGGCGCCAGCGCAAAAACCATCCCCACTTGGATCTTCAATCCCAGCACCCCTGCGTGCAAGCTGCACGTTCTATCCGGGGGCGCCTTCGATCCCGTCGTCGGGCCACACCTCGGAGACCAGTCCGGGCACCAGTGTCACCCCTCTGGACCTCTTGCCCCGCTCTCGGCCGCTGAGGTGTGGCTCGGCCTCTTCCGGGGCGCCGCCGCGACGGATGGCGTGGCGAAGAGGTCTCGTCTGATCGCCGAGGGGCCACGTGATGATCCTCAGGGCGTGTGTCAGGCCCCGTTCAGCTTCACCAATAGCACGCAGTGTCGGCCCTCGCTAATTTCACCACCTGCGTTGTATCGAAGGGATCCGGTGGACAAGTGCATCCTCGTGCAAGCACACGCTCCGCAGGTCATCGGGACACTCAGGAAGGGGAAGAGCAGAAGGTCTCTCCGCTTCCGCGGGGGAAGTGCCTGAGGAGGAGGAGGAGGAGGAGGAGGAGGAGGAGGGAGGAGGATAGGGATAGGAGGATAGGATTAGGAGGAGGATGGGAGTAAGAGGGGGGAGGAGGAGGAGGAGGAGGAGGAGGAGGAGGAGGAGGAGGAGGGAGGAGGAGGAGGAGGAGGATACCCAGCGGGCATGAGCCAGGGCCGCGGCCGCTTGGCTGACCTCGCTGGGGCCAGGCGGGCGGCAGGGAGGGATGAGGTCGGTGCGCGCCGCGCGGTGGGCACAGCGCCATACCCCCTGCGGGCGCTCGAGTCGGAGCCGTGGCCCCCGCAGGCGCTGTTCGACATCAAGTTCCGGCGGCAGCACAGCGGCAGGCGAGGGAGGGAGGGAGGGGGGGAGGGAGGGAGGGGGGGAGGGGGGAGGGAGGAGGGGGAGTGCTCCCTGGCTGGGATGTTGCCGGAGATGCCCCCGGCCCAAGGTGCCTCTCCAGGATGTCTAAGGAGGCCCCCACGGTCCCCAGAGCACGCCCCTCGAGGCCCAGAGTGCCCCGGGGGCTCCAAGATGGAGGGGAAAGATGGGAGCACTTTGAGCCAGGGCTGCCTTGAGCAACACCCTACGTTGTTTCCCCATATCCTAAGATGGGGTTCTTGTTATACGCCTCCTACTACTCATGCCTTCTTCTCCTTCTCCTCCCCTCATACCCAGACGTACTCATTCACAGACTGACTCACACTCAGACTTACTCATACCCAGACTTACTCACACATAGAATTACTCTTACTCAGACCAACTCATACTCAGACCAACTCCTTCTCAGACTTACTCAAGGTGAGACTCACGCACGCCCCGTTCGCGGCCGTTTTGTGGGGATGCCTCAAGCGGTTTGCTTGTTTTCTGTCCCAACATCCTTGGCTACCAGAGCAGATTGTGAGGATGTCTCAGGCGGGGCGCGGGTCTCAGCTCCCCCTGAGGGGAGCCGCCAGGGGTTATCTCACGGTCCCGGTCGCGGCCGTTTTGTGGGGATGTCTCAAGCGGTTTGCTTGTGTTCTGTTCCAACATCCTTCGCTTTCGGATCAGATTTGGAGGATGTCTCGAGCGAGGCGCTCATTTTCACGTCCCTAAGGGGAGCCGCCAGGGGTTATCTCACGGTTCCGTTCGCGGCCGTTTTTTGGGGATGTCTCAACCGGTTTGCTTGTTTTTCTTCCCAGCATCCTTCGCTTTCGGAGCAGATATGGAGGATGTCTCGAGCGAGGCGCTCATTTTCACCCCCCAGGTGGGCCAGATTTTGAGGATGTCTCGGTCGGTGGCCAGACTCGTGGGCACATATTCTCCTCAGGATGCCACAGGAGGCTCCAACAGGCTCCAGGAGGCCTCAGAAGACCACATGAGGTCCCAGGAGGCATCAGGAGGCCACAGAAAGACTCAAGAGGCTACAGGATGTCCCAAGAGGCTCTAGGAGGCCCCAGGAAGTTCCGGGAGGCCTCAGGAAGTCACAGGAGGCCCCGGGAGGCCAGAGGAAGCGCCAGGAGGCCTCGGAAGGCAACAGGAGGCTCTGAGAGGCCCCAGGAGCAGGAGGCCTCAAAAGGCAACAGGAGTGGCTCCAATCCCATGTGTTTTACGTATGCTCCTATAGATTGGGCCTCACCTGGAGCACGAATCCTTGATGTTATACGTCTGTTTCTATAGATTGTCCTTCTCCTGTGTACTTATGTTCCTCTAGGGCCTCTCCTGGGGCACGAGTCCTTGGTGTTTTACGTGTGTTCCTATAGATTGCTCCCTTCTCCTGTGGCTCCAATCCGCAATGTTTTATGTACGTCTGTTGCTATAGATTGGGCCTCTCCTGGGGCACGAATCCTCCCTAGGAGGTCCCATGAGGCCCCAGGAGGCCCCAAGAGGCTCCTGGAGGCTCCAGGAAGCCCCAGTAGGTGTCTGGAGGCCGCAGGAGGACCCAGGCTCATGCGCGGAGACGCGCTCGTACTACTGAGGCTCATTCGTACTCCAACTCATTCTCAGTTAGATTCATGACCAGACCGTCACAACTGAAGCCCGTTTATATTCGAAAGTTCTTGCGCCTAGACATTCACGGCGGACAGGTCCATGCGAATAGATGCACATATGGGGAGCTTCACGCAGTGAATAATTTTGAGGGGAGGAGAGGATGTGCAAGGTGCCGTTCTTCGCTCCGTGCCCCGTGCTCCCCGTCCCCTGTCACCCCCCGTCGCCTCCCTCGACTGGCACTCTCGAGGGCTTCGGTGCGGGCCCCGTCCAGGCAGATTGGCCCACGCACGCGCGAGTCTGCTGCCTGCGTTTTCTTCTGTTCGAAGAAGAAGAACGCCATAAACATAAACTTTCGTCGCTCCGCACGGATTTCTTGGATCCGCGCTGGACCCCCTCCGTCGGCGCCTCTGGCGCTGCCCCTGGCGCGCTCCGCGCGCCAGGGAGGGTGGCCCAGCGCAGATCCAAGACATCCGCGCGGAGCGCCAAAAGTTTACGTGTATGCCGTTGCTTCTTCTTCTATCTGTCGTCTTCTTCCCTGTTCCTTTGCCTGGCCCACGTCCAGCGCTACTCGTCATTGTTGGTCACAGTGCGCAGCCTGCGGCTGCGACCGTTTATATTTCAGTCTGGTACGTCCTTTTTGCAGGAGGAAGATTCAAGAATAGGAACAATAGTCTGGTGACGATTGTTCGTGCTTGTTTGACGATTTGTTGATTATTGTTTGACGATGCAGTTGTTTTTTTGGAAGATCTGCCTATAGGAGGACATGGTCGACCTAAGTTTAGATAGCCACGTCTAGGTGTTAGTAGCCTTTCGTCCTCCTCCCCTCTCCTTCGTTTGCCGTTGGCTTTTCAGGTTGGCCCATGCCAAGGTTTTAAGCAGTGGTGATCGTGCCAGCCTTTTTTGGCAAGCGCGCTGCCTACTCTCCCTCCTCTTCTTCGTCCCTCCTCATGTTTCCGGCATTGTTTCACGAGTTTAGTGGCAATGCGAGTAGTTTTGCAATGCGGTCTGACATGTGAGATGTTCGTGGCTGTTGGCAGGTGCGTGTCTGTGAACAAGAATGTGCAATATGAAGGAGGGGCAATGAAACAGAAGAGAAGGAAAGAGGAAGATTGAGAGGGGGTAGTCGTAGTAGCCGTAGTTTTCGTCGTCGTCGTAGTAGTAGTAGTAGTAGTAGGTAGTAAGTAGTAGTAGTAGTAGTAGTAGTAGTAGTAGTAGTAGTAGCAGTAGCAGTAGTAGTAGTAGTAGTAGTCGTAGTAGTAGTAGTAGTAGTAGTAGTAGAAGTAGTAGTAGTAGTAGTAGTAGTAGTAGTAGTAGTAGTAGTAGTAGTAGTAGTGGTGGTAATAGTAGTAGTAGTAGTAGTAGTAGTAGTAGTAGTAGTCGTAGTCGTAGTCGTAGTAGTCGTAGTAGTAGTAGTAGTAGCAGCGGCAGTAGTAGTAGTAGTAGTAGTAGTAGTAGTAGCAGTAGTAGTGGTAGTCGTAGTCGTGGTC